CGTGTTTGTTGTACCATCTCCGGCTGATTGCGTGCTCAATTCAGAAAGAGATCGTTCTGCCCCTCCTAGCAGTGCTGGCCCTTTGAGAGAGCTATGCACAAACTCTTGACCCTGCTACTCTCTTACAGTAGCCTAGAAAGTGTGGCCCCGTCAAATATTTCTCCAACTTTTTTTTGAAAGCTCCCGCCAAATGTGCTCCCACTGGCCCTTCAGGAAGCATGTTCCACAGCTACAAAAGTCCCCTGTGTTTCTAAACCACCCACAAAATTATCCACGTTACCGCTACCTCCCTCCACCAACCAACTCGTCCATGATTTCTTTGCGACATCTCTGCCATCTGTAAATGGCTGACTGTCCAGCTGAGTTACACCACGCTTGGATGTTCCAAGCCGTCTGCTCAATTGGGAATTGTGCCTTACATGAGACAGTATGGGGTGAAAGATTTAATATCTGACTGTTCCAGACATAATAAGATCGGAGAGCCGTGGTTGCAGATAAACCCTTGTCTTGTGGCAGCTTATGTGCCTTGCTGGGCAGGAGTATGTTAGACCTGTTTGGTAATGTAGCTTATTCTGAAAGCACGGCGCTGGACTGATGAAGGGTCAGCGCTATTACCTGTTAGTCAATGGACTTGATAGAAAATATCTGACAGTGTGGAGCACAGCTCTTTCTCACAAAGGGGTCTATTGACAAGATACCATCGCTAGGATGTCACTCTGTGTATTTGTGAGACTTGAAGAGATTTCAAGTGATGTTCACATAGTTCAATTCTTTTGGGCAATGAGTATACAGATTAAAGGCAGATTTCATCTGCTCCCTCCCGCTCAGTAACCCCTCTCCCCTCCAGCGCCCTGTGTTACTGACTGTATCCCTACTGATGTTAATCCCTCTCCCTCACGCTGTCACTCAGTAACCCCTCTCTCCCCTCAGCACCCTGTGTTACTGACTGTATCCCTACTCATGTTAATCCCTCTCCCTCACACTGTCACTCAGTAACCCCTCTCCCCCCCCAGCGCCCTGTGTTACTGACTGTATCCCTCCTGATGTTAATCCTT